TTCTCAAGAATGTCATCGCATGTCCGTTTCAACCAAAGATTATCTTTTTTTTATGTTAGACTTTATGTAGCCGGTTCATTAAAACGTAATTTTTTGACTATCTTTCTTCAACCATTTTAAAATCACCTTTCCTTTTATAAAGTACTTAAATAGATTTTGCTTACTTTAAGGAGAAAAAAAAATTGACAACAAAAGTATCGGTACATGCATCGGATACCTACCATTTCTTTAGAATTATCGTGTGCAGAAATTTTTACAAAAGTTCAAATGTGAACCTGTTGAATTTTATTAACAGAAAATTCGTAGTAGCGATGCATAATAATCGAACGTGCCGATACTTGGTTATTACTGAATACTTATTCCAGATTTTGTAAAGATTTCCGGCCTTTCGCTTTTAATACTTAAATCCTATCTGACTTACTCTCAATCCTCTTTTATTTTTATATTACCATCAAAGCGGGTGTTCACCAAGGTCGCATCCTAGGGCCTTGTCTATTCATAACAGACACAGCCTAAATTTCTGTCATCCGCAACAATACCACATACTCTTTTGACGACGATCCTGCCTTATATAGTCGTAACAACCTAATTAATAAAACTAAATCACCCACATCACCTTTACCATTGGAAAACTCATCCAATTTAATTAGACTTGTAATCAAAAACATAACGTAACAAAAACGTTGAAACTTGAAAATAAGAGACAATCGTACTTTATCTGACGATGATAATAGATAAAAATAATTGATCCTTTTTTGTAAATAGGTGATATTATTTTGATTACCTGTGCAGTTTTTATGTCAAATAAGTATAAAAACCTGTACGATATCAGAAAAACGACTAAATTGTAAAATAGTTTTTATTCGGCGACAGATGAGACACGAGAAATTTAGCTAATCGTACTTGTTGGTTTAGAGATAAATTTATTTTCATAAAATTAACTAATTTCGTGGTCCGCTTGACCTTAATATATTATTAATATTTTAATTAATATATTACAATTAATTAAGGTTTTTAGTTGAGATAAAAAAGTCAATGGCACGAGCGGGATTCGAACCCAAGATCTTCGGCTAGATACGCCGGTAGAGCCGCGGCGTATCTAGCCGAAGATCGTGGGTTCGAATCCCGCTCGTGCCATTGACTTTTTTATCTCAACAAAAAAACCTTAATTAATTGTAATTTTATTTTCATAGTACAATTTTTTCAATTTTTTGTGTTCAATAACTTTTTGAATTTGTCTGCCCTGGATAGTGTGAAATGAGGTTTTTTGCTGTTAACCAGCTCAGGATAAAATTTGGGAAAAAAATATTAATTAACACCTGGCAACACTATGAGATTTTTCCAGGTGGTCTGCCTATTCTCGCTTCGGCTGTCAGAAGCGTGTCAACATTTCGCTATTTTCATTGTGCCGCATCAAGGATATAAGCAGGTAGAGGCAAGTGAATAAGGACCCAACAGCACTGAAGCATCAATAAATGAATTGGGTCTTTGCGTATTACATAAATCGAAGTTTTTTCCCCTTGGATTTTCTTTCTAATTGGATAATTTGATATAAGAGGCAATTTTGGCTTTATTATAGTTTTTTATATTTTTCTTCCTTTTAGAATCAATGGGTCAAACTTTCTTTTTTTATAAAAGAAAAATTTCCCCTTTGTACAATGTGGGAAGCGAACATTGTCAGACTTGACACTAATCGTTCGAGACTTTCCCAAGGAGAAATAGATATGGCCGCTTCGATACATCGTCCAGATCGACTTGTACTAATTTTCCGAAAATAAATTAAGGCGAATCCGAAATACTGCGACTCGAGTGAGTCAGACTTAAGTAATTTATGGGCGTTGACTTCGAACATTTTCTTCGCTTCACGGTCCCTAACGATGAACCATGGGACGTCTTATCGTCCGGGTACATCGTACTCATGTTGTCAGCCGGCTCAATTTCACGCCACTTTTTGAAAATTAACTCACCAGGGTTATTTCATAGAAATATTTATTATGATAAAGTATTGCAGGACAGATCATAAAGATTGGCTTGAACGTTTTCCAAATTATACAAGATTCAACAGGCTACGCTGAAAACCTGAGAACTATTTCCCTGAAAAAAGCACAAAGCAAGTATCAATAATGAGTTTTCGAGCTTTCCTCTCAACATTTTTCGTAATATTTTTCAATACTAGCTACACTAATTGTACAGCATTAAGCTACAAATTCGTAACTAACAATATCGGGGTTATTGGTCTTGCGAGTGAATTCACACACATACACATAAAATTTGGTCGTTAGATCATTTTGGTCTGTCTATCCTCGCTGGGATTGGTCTGTCGGCGCCTCGTTTCGGTTTCTTGTTATTTTAAATTGTGACAGACCAAATGAAACAGCGGGGTCGGCGGACCAAAATTTAACTGTAAAAATCGAACCTTAAGATAGCAAGGAGAAACCGAGACTTGATCATACTGGGTCCGTCTATTCTCACTGTTTTATTTTTCACTCATAAAGGTTTCATCTTCAGGCCATATTTCGCGAGCATAAACCAGCGAGAATCGACGGACCCAGTAAAGTGATCAGTTAAACATATTTTTGTTGTTGAGATAAAATTCAATTTTTCAAATTGAGTCTTTATAAAATTGAATATATATTTTCCAGTACGACTATATACGCCGTCTGTTTTTCCTTTTACTCACTGAAGATGGTGTGAAGCCGAACGCACCTGAGAAAAAGGTAAAACAGCTTTTTGTTGTTGAGATAAATCAAACTCTGTGATTATAAACAAAGATTGCTTTTTCAAATTGAGTCTTTTTAAAATTGAATATATATTTTAAAGTACGACTATATACGCCGCCTGTTTCTCTTTTTACTCACTGAAGATGGCGTGAAGCCGAAACATACCTGACAGCGAGAATAGACAGATCTACTCATCGAAGTCCGTCTATTCTCGCTGTTTTACTTTTCCCTCATTCAGCTTCAGGCGTGAACATAAACCAGCGAGAATCGACAGACCCACTAAAGAGATCAATGTTAAACACATTACAATTAATTAAGGTTTTTAGTTGAGATAAAAAAGTCAATGGCAGAGCGGGATTCGAACCCAAGATCTTCGGCTTGATACGCCGCTGCTCTACCACTTGAGCTATCGTGATCTCGACCTTTTTATCGTGGGTTCGAATCCCGCTCGTGCCATTGACTTTTTTATCTCAACTAAAAACCTTAATTAATTATAATATATTAATTGGTCAAGCGGACCACGAAATTAGTGATTATATTGTATTTTAAAGTACGACTATATACGCCGTCTGTTTCTCCTTTTACTCCCTGAAGCCGAAACGTACCAGAGTAAAAAGGTAAAGCACCGAGAATAGACGGACCGTGAAGAGTTAACACGGTTTATAATTTCACGCTTATATTTAGATAGATTTACATTATTTTTCACTAAACCGCTTCAGAGTTTTGATTACAGTATGAATTAGGCAAAAAAAGACCTTTTCGTATCGAAGGCTTTTCTCTGTCGCCAAGGCAAAAAAAAATTGGACGAAATTGGACGATCTTGAACGAAAGAAAGTGTTGGAAGGCTGAATGGATTTCGGCGACACACTTTCCACATCGCTGACTGATGAAAATCAGTCGGAGAAAATCACGAGAAGTAATTGAATGATTTCCATTGTCGGTTTCCAAAATTTGTGGAAATCGAGTTTGAACAATTAGGTCGACCGTTGTCCTTGAATTAATCTTTCTGGCTTCTTCTGATCCTGTCAAAACTCTCCGTTTTCTATTTTCAAGGAGTGTTTGCCAAAAACTATACTGACAATTGTGACTAGCGGTACAGTTTTTTTAAAAATAATTAATTTTTTTTATAGAGATTGACGTAGTTTATATTGGCTCAAGTTTGAATTTAACTGATACTTTATTAATAGTTGCATAAATTACAAAAAAACCTGTTTTTATATTTTAATATTAGACTTTATATAAAATTCAAAAATTTTCTGGGGTTACAAAAGCTTTGATCTCTATTTATTTCTGTAATTAAGCTTTGATCTCTTTTTATTTCTGTAATTAATCTTCTATATCTGTTAGAACCCAGAGCTTTTATTTATATTATTTCCTATAGGATAATTCAAGGAAGTATCCTCCTGTACTTGATAGATTTTCTTGCTTTTACCACAAATCTTAATACATCTATCTTAGAAATGATTAAAATTGTAAAAAGTTAATCGTCTATTTATTGCTTTTTAAATAAACGTATAAAAGCACAGTGAAACCTCTGATAAGGTATTCCTCTGTTTAAGGATGCCTCCGTTTACAGGTCAGTTACTTATGCACTGGCATGGAAATTTCATTTTCTATGTATGAAACATCTTTACATTGAGGACATTTTAAATAAAGGACAAGGGCAATTTCGTGTTGTCCTACAGTCTATAACAGTACAGAAAGCCTCTGAGTAGTGGACAAGCCAAGATTAATTTTTTCATTTTTCCTAGGCAGCATTAACGATCTATGATTAAATTTGTTAACTCCTCCCCCTCATCCAATCTTATTTACGTATTTTATTTTCTATATTGTTTTCATTTCACGATTTCCGTTTAACTTCGAATGTCTTATTCTTAACAAAGATTTGAAAGACCGTGAAGTCAAAAATCACTACACGTGTAATTTTTGGATGGTGACATCCTGATTTTGAGTTACTCCATACTCCTCTTTCGGGAGGTGCCCTCCAAAGAATTTTTATCATCTGATAACACACAGTAGTCTGTATAAGAACAAGTCTTTTCCATAATAAGCATTTATTTCGTCAGACGCGTTTCGATCTGATAAAGACCATCTTAAGCGACTTTATTTTTTTATATATATAAAGTCACTGAAGGTGTAATCAAATGATAAAAACTTACTTTAGAGGGCACCTCCCTTATGAGGGCAAAAGTAATGACATTTTTTTCCCGTAGCAAAAGGGCTGACTGTATTTCTTTTCTGGTACTTTTTTCAAGATATTAATAGTTTTATCCATTTCAGGATAGGTTTGGTGGTGTGTGGATTGCTGGCTGGGCTTTTAGCCCAAGGGGAGAGTCAAGGAGATGTCGGCAGCCAGGTGGTCCCGAGGTATTGGAGAGCGATCGACGGCACAGTTCATAAAGATAGTAAGGTTGAAGATCCCGACCAAGGTGTGGTTTACCCGGATAAACTCCAAGTCATCAGCTCTTCACTCAGGATCTTGCCGAAAAGAGTTCGGAGGCAAAGGCGGAGCGAGGGCTCGTGGAGGAAACCCAGGGAGTATCAGTTTGTGACTCGGGACAAGGAACGCGATTCTACAGCTAGCGGCACCCGATCCGCAAGGCTCGTCGATCAAAGTCGAGCCTCTTCGAATTATTACCCCCAGGAGAGAGCGTATTACAACAGGGGTGAAGAATATTACAACAGGAGAAGCGGTAGCCCGCCGAATAGGAGAATAATCTACTACGCGACTTTGCCGGAAGTAGTCCGACGACCTGGGGAATGGACTCCGCCTAGACCGATTTACAACCCGTCCGGTTACCCGACAATCAGGGACAATGAAATTACAAGAGTCAGATCCCCGGTTATCGACGTGACCAGGGTTCAGTCGTCGGTTATCGACGTGTCCGATAAAAACAGGTTCGACGGTTCTTATCCACAGGACCTGTCGACCCCGAAGTTTACGATAATCGACGCCGAACCGCCGTACAACAGGCCACCGCCGCCTGTCTACGAAAGCGATAGGTACGACCGCGGACGTTTCGACTCACGATACGAACGACCTCGGTACGACCACAATCGTTACGACTACAATTATAACAGACACGATTATAGAAATTACGTGGACCCTCCTTATAGATATTACGACGAGCCGAGGCTTCCTCCTCAGAGGCATCAAGTGCTTCCGCCTCAACCGATAACAGTCGTCAGGAAACCGCTCGACGTGAGGCCTTTGGACCCCGTCAGGGACTTGACGACCCAAGCTCCACCTTCTTCCTCCACGACGACGTCCTCTCCTTCGACATCCTCGACGTCGAACCCCATTTCCAGTTTCGAGAGGACCTTCAAGTTTTAACATTTTCGTACAATAATTGTATTTGTAAATATTAAGAAACTGTGCACTTGATCCAACGTCATTGTTCGCATCCACTACATGGCATGTGTAACACAAAAATTAACCCGTTACATACGACAATGGAATTATGGGAAAAATTAGTTTCCTAACGTTGAAATTGTCTGATACTCCATGACATAATTGCCGTGTGACTCCTTGAACTGATTGGCCCATCATTAATTACTCAACTCACTAATTTTTATAATCACTTATTATTATTCTATATATATTTTTATTTTAAAGGACAATTCCACGCCTTCTCAGATATTTATTTACTTTTTCTGTGTAAGGGTTAATCAAACGATTCAAATAATTTCCATTTCACAGTATTCTCAATGTATCACACGATTATGAAATTGTTGTAGCTAGAAGTTAATTACTCAACTTCAATTAACGATTCAGCCTAATAACTTTGTTTATGTATACATAAAATTTTTTCACAAATGGACTTACACTAAAAACCCTTATACTAATCAATCTATGTTTTTAAACTTTTATTTACTATAATTTTTTTCTATTTAATATTAACTTACGAAATCTGACTCCAGGGTATCATTTGTCTTATCATAATCCTATAAATACGTAATTCCATAAAAAAGAGACAATTTTTTTTAACAGACAGAGCTGTTTCACCAAATTATCCCTGCCGGAGTCAGATTGTCCTAGTTTATATATGTATTTATTTTGAATATTATCTTTGTACCTTAAATATTAAAACTTGAACGAATGATTGATCTCAGGTCTAAATTAAACCGTGTACAATATTTCATTTTTGTACTTAAATTTTCTTGTAGATAAAAAAAAACTGATTTTTTTTGTGTATTTGTCGTATTATATTTTTCCCGAATACTAATTCCATTCCTTGTACGATAAAACAACCGTAGGTATATGGAACTGTACACAGAGGGTGAGAACGAGGGAGAGGGTAGGTGAGAAATAAATAATGCAAAACCACTAAACAACCGCTACTTTATATTATTTATTTCTTAATTTTACAACAAGGTGAACAGAAAATGATACTATTTTTTTATTGGTCGGTAATTAACCTGCCTATAAGTTTATGGCTCTTTTAATCCTGTGTTGTTCACGCTCATATTATACAAAGTGAGAACAAACGAAGACAATTCTTCAGCGAACGTCGGCTTGTAGACCATGTTGTTGCAAATCTGAAGCCACTCGACGAGCTGAAACCATCAAAAACACAATATTCAAAACGGCAATTACTTAATAATTGACAATATGCGAAAATTGTCGATAGATAAGGGGAATTATAGGCAATTTCAAGGGAATGACCTTTATTCAGTGGAAAATGAGTTGTGACGTTTTCGGGGCTGAAAGTTTTCACCATCGCTTCAAGGTTTATGACTTGTCTTGTGGTCATTGTTCTCATGCTTACGACACGGGTTCATCATTGTTAAAAGGACACGCAATCCACAACTTGATATAACCACTAAATTTTACAATCAAGTAATATACTTTTTTTTAATTGTCTTACCTTAGGCAGCATATCGATGTTGGAGCAGGATCTATTGCTATCTTCTTTATCTTCAGAACCTTTTTCTTTTTCCGACATAATCCTGTATATACCTTTCACGATGTTCTGAAAACAGATTATTATTATAGATTTTTTTTTTAGAAATTCTTCCAGTGCATTTTACCTCAATCGTCAAATATAACTCTTTGATTTTTGCATCTGCAAAAGTCTGCTTGCTTCCAAGCTCGGCTAGGTGTTTCTGATAAACGGAAGACATTTTAACTAGACTTTCGTGCGTCTTGGATTTGCATTCTTCATGACATGAAGTTTTCTATTGAAAAATCGTCTTATTGTATTACTAATTTTCTACACAATGCTGCTTTATATTTACCTCCAGTTCGTAGCAAACCATCTGTGCCTTAAAATTTTCGTCTAGTTTACGATTTATATCTTTCAAGGCTTTCAATTTCTCTTCTACCAGCTCAATCTATCGGATAAATGACGATTTTTCATCAATAATCAAAACTGGCTTTACTTGTTTTTAAATATCATAATGCGGTATAGAACAAAAAGGAGAAGCTAAAAATGGGTTCGTTCACCCGTTAATAACAAGATTACCCACTGCGGCAGGTGAAAATTATGCGAATGAATCATGCTGAGCAAGTACCCATTTAATGACTGACCAGTGTGGAAGACATTGTAAACAATGATTACACAGATGAAATAGAAATTGACACCTCTCATCGTGTTTATAAAGGCGGGCAAAAACTACTATAATTGGCCGACTCGCAAATGATACTTAATGATCAGACTTGATTTTACAGTTTAATTATCTTAATCACTCCATGTTATCAACTCTTAGGCGAGTTAAATGTTCATTTAGTTTAAATATTTTTTAACTATGCATTCTATGTACCTGACTGGCAAGATGTTTGCAGTGAACAGTCAGTTTCTTGTTCGTCGACTGGGCTTCTTTTAATTCTTCTTCTAGTTTCGTTTTTTGGGCGGTAAGTTCCGAAATTTCGTTTTTCAAATTGCTTATTGCCGTTTTTCTGTACGCGCTCGTCGCTTCGCTACGTTCCAAGCTGAAAGGAATGAAATTCTGAATGAAAGCTTTTACCTCTGGGGATGAGAACGGTACCATGCTGAAATGTGGTCGAAAGCTTCTGTTTTTGTAGACAAAGCGTGCTCCAGATTGGCGATAGAGACTTTCTGCTCTTTCAGCGTCCTGCTTAAGCAACTCCAGTGCTTCTCGAACTTGCGAACGTCCCCTGGAAAACGCTGCACTTCCTCGATCCTTTTCGAATACTCTATGAGGAGGTGTCTCAACTTTTCATAAACGTTGTTGTACTGGTACACATGGTTTTTCAATAACATCGACTGTAATTTTTTACCAAAAATTAACAAGATTGCAACAACGTAACTTCAAATCTATTTCTTAAATTAATAATTTTCTATAATAGATCTAAGATGGCAAGGAACCTAAAAAATTCATATTTTCAAGTTCCTTACATTAATATCGATGAAAATTCTAAAAAATGAAATTTTAATTTTATCAAAACATTAATAAACTTCCAAGAATCAAACCAAAAGAAAAACACAGTAAACATCACATTAATGCTGAATATTTTTGTTTATTTTAACGTATATTTGTCTAAATCAATTTGAACGAAGGGGAAAAAAATATAACTATCATGACAGATAGCTAAGCACCCATCATAACACTAACAAGGAGACGACCAGGTTGGTGTGTCACGGATTTGGGCCAAACTTTTTTTGGCGATTCTACACTCCAAAATATCGGACATGTAACCGTCACTTCTTGTGTAAAGGCTTCGGTTTAGCCATTTTTTTAAATTGAAATTTTCCGTTTTTTAATATATTTATTTTTTCTACTTATTCAAATCAACCATAAACATTTTACAGAAATTAGTCCAAACTTTGATTTGACATCATTGTCGTGATTCTAGCGATATAAAACCCTTAAGAAACCGATTTTCTTGCCAGATAAGAAAATTCAGTCATCGGGTTAATGAAGGTTTGTCAAAATTTAATTTTAATCGCAATTAAATGATCATAAATCGTTATTTAGAGACTAAAAACTATTATTTTTGTATTAATTTCATTGTTGGTTAAGATGAAAAACAAAAATGTGCCATAACGCAGAATATTCTAATTTGGTACGATGAAGATAGCTCAACAAAATACTTCTTTTTTGCAAATATTAGCATTCTGTAAGCAAAGTAGGTCAGAAAATGGTCAAAACTTGGATTTGACCTCATTGTCGTGATTCTAGCATTATAAAATCCTTAAAAACCGACGTTCGCGGGTGCAAATTAATTTTTTGACTGATAAATCCGACGATATTGAAGCCTCCTGACATTCCTAGTGCAAGTTCTAACATCATTTTTCTCAATACCTAAGAGACGGGGGCGTCAGTAGCCGCAACGGTTTAGGTTTTGATACGGCGCTCATCACTGTAAGGTAAAGGTCCTGGGTTCGAATCCAGCGGCCCTGCATTCCAACCCGACATACTTACAAATGGGCTTTTTTTCAAAAACAAAAATGGTTGATAATTAGTTTAAACAAAACTGTCAATTGCATTTTATAGCTGTACCAAACATTAAAATCGAACTATTATTTCCATTTAAAAAACGACGATAATTTCTGACAAAAATATTTTTTTATTTTATGAATTTTCTTATAGAAATATTTTATATATTTTTACGGTACTTACCTCGTTAAAAAGCTACGTTTCTCTTCTTTCAAATGGTATGGTTTGATTAAAATCCTTTTAACCGTTTTTGAATTAAGCCGTTCAGATATTACGAGACTTCTTAAAAATTTTAGGAATAAAAAAATCGAGAAATTTAAACAAAAATTTATATCTATCTAAAACGATATTTCATATTAGTTTCAAGAAATTTTTTATAGTCTAGTTTACTTGAAAAATATTTGGTTTTTAGAAATTTTTTTGGTTATCGATAAACTTTGATGACTTTTACTATATTTTTACCGCAATCTTCATCCAAAAATGGTGTAAAATGATATATTCACATAGTTGATTTGAATAAGTAAAATGGTGAAATAAAAATATTTAAAAACGGGAAATCTCAATTTTCAATTTTTTTGGGCTAAATTAGGACCTATTCACAAGAAGTGGCAGTTACAAGTCTGATATTTTGGAGGGTAGAATAAAAAAAAAAATCTAGTTTACTTGAAAAATATTTGGTTTTTAGAATTTTTTTGGTTATCGATAAACTTTCATAGTTTTTGCTATGTTTTTATAGCTATCTCTATAAAAAAATGCTGTAAACTGATATACTCACATAGTTGATTTGAGTAAGTCGTACGGCAAAATATATTAAAAAATAGAAAATTTCAACTTTCAACAATTTTTTTTGGCAAAACCAAGGCCCACTCGCAAGAAGTGGTGGATATGTGTCTGATATTTTGGAGGGTAGAATCAGCAAAATAAAGTCAACCTATGCTGGGTCCTATGACATATGGGAATAGAGGGCAGCGAGAGAGCGGATGCTGATAGGTCCTGAGCCCTTCTGTAACATAGGGATTCACACTATCAATGAGACAAAATGACAAAATTAAAATAAAGGGCATAAACAATCCAAGAATATTCTAGCAAATTTTGGAAGGAAAGAAACAACAAAATGCAAAGAAGCAGGAAAAAACGTTGAATCCTAGTAGGACACTACAGACTGAATGGACATCTGAAGAAGCCTAGGAGACACCAACACATCTATTAAGAAACTGTGGCACAAATTTGTTTGCAGGAGGAAGTGTTTTTTGGGATGTACAATGTCACCGTAGATGAAATTCAACCACTTAACCAGGCCTACTAATCAAGTAACTTGGTCAACTAGGGCACACCGGTGTGCTACAAGCACAGAATGGTGGATCAATAGCTCTTAAATAAAGGGTGCAGTATATTATGCACCTTGAATGAAACATCTACATTTATATTCTAATACTTATTTCTTCATTATTGTTTATTTGTTTATTTACGGATCGAAATCCACTATAAAAAGACATTTTACAATAACAAAAAATAAAAATAAAATACAAAATAATATATGCAAAAATAAAAATAATATATATATAAAAAGAATAAGGACATATATACATGGTAATATTATAAATCGTAAATATAAATGATATACATAAAAATACAAATAAAGAGTAAAAACTGAACAACAAAAATGAAAGACAATTACTAACCAAATTAAGGCAAAGGAAACAAAATAAAGCTGAAAGACAATTGAAACTACAATATTTAATGAAAATAATGCTCATTGTAGATATATAATAAGTCTAGAGTGCAATATTTAGGTGAATCAGTAAATGAAATAAATTGTAATAAATTTTTAACAGTATGAAATATAAAAGCATTTAAAAAAAATATAAAAAAAATAAGAAAATTAAACTAAAGTAGGGTTGTAGGATATGGTTGTTTACAGATAGCACATAACTATTGCAGAAAGCAATGCTATTGCAGGTGTTGTTACTCTTGATCATCACTCTGTGAGAGGAGAAGAGAGCATGTAGTTAGAGCTGTGGAATTCAATATAAAATAGTTTGTGGGTTTTAAGAGAATGCGAAGGGACGTGAAGCTGTAGCTGAGAGAGGAAAGAAGGACTATCGATGAGATTGTTTAATAATTTAAATACAAAAACAATATCAAAGTAATCCCTTCTTAGTGCCAGTTCAAAAAGTTTAAATTCATAGCGGATTCCAGGGTAGTCAGAGTTCGGAGGAAGATTGAGTTTGTAAGAAAGTTTTTTTAAAAATTTGTTTTGTTCAGATTGAAGAATTTTTTGATAATTTAGATAGAATGGGTTCCAAACAGGTGTAGAGTATTCTAGTATGGGTTGTACAAAAGCTTTATAAAGATGGACAAAACATAGGGGATTTTTAAATTCATAGGTGTTCAGAATGTTCCGGGTGATGAAACCTAGCATCTTCATAGATCTATTTTATATTGAAGAAATATGTTCTTTAAACTTGCGCTTTTGATCAAAAAGTATACCAAGATCCTTTACGACCTCAACTCGCGTTAAAAGAGAATCGTGGAGAGTACAGTGATAAAGAAAGGTTGTTTCTTATGAGAGAATGTAATTGTGTAGTATTATATGTTAAAAGGCAAACCCATGTTTGATACATTTATATCACAGCATATCCATTATGGTAATATAGTTCATAAAATACAAAACTATAGTAAGAGATACTTCAAACAAAAGTAAAATTATTATCACAAAATCACTCCGCATTACTGAAATAAGAATAAATACTTCTGGCTCTGCAGAACCAAGATAGGCTATGTTGAGCATAGTTTGGATGAATTAACCAAAGAAGTTCCTCAACATCTCAAACAGGAAAACTAAAATTTACCTCTACCTCAGCAGGCAAGAATCAACGGCCTTTATACTGTCTATGCCAATTCAATTCACTTTTATAAATGAAAAAACTGATCAAAAAACCTGCCAGCTCTGCCACGATTCAGCAGACGTCAAACAAATCTTATGCGACTGCAAAGCATTAGCCTGAAAATGGTACAGCAGCTTCAGAATGGTGATGCTAACTTCTAAAGACATTTGTGAAGAGAAACGCAGGCATTGCTCAACTATCTTAAGTGTAATGCACTTTCCGGGGTATGTAAATAAAGAAATGTCAATTCCACAATAAATCTTGTAAGTTGTAGAGAAACGAAGGGAGAATATAGACATATGACACCAGGGAAAAAAAATCTGACAGTATGAAATTTTTTTTTTTTGCTTTTATCAGCTTTATGGGCTATTGGATTAATTTAAAAAAAAGTTGGAACTAACTTTTCGTAAGCTATATTTCATAGATTGACTTTGTTTTTAATGCCAAATTAGTAATTAAAACTTTCAAAATAGCAACTGTTTAAAATTCTACCTTAGCTTCTATCGTATGTGAACTTTCCCAATCTTTACTGGCTTTCTTTAACTCTTTGTATTTAATTGATTTATTCAATAGATGCCAATAATGCCGTTTCCAAGCCTGTAAATAGAAACATAATTGAAAATAATAAAAATGTAATCTTATTGTCACTGTTCTGGTTTGTCAGATACATTTAAGCATTTTGAAAAAGAGAAGGATATTTGTTTACACTGAAAAAGGCAAAATGGTGAAATTTGTCTGACAGACCAAATCAGCGAGGAGCTGCAGACCAGAATAATCAGAAATGACCAAACTACAAATAATAGAAAAGTTAAAAATGTAAATGAACTGATTACCCTATAGTGGCATTGATGTTTAGCCTTATGATAAATAGATCGGGTGCATCGTTTTCGTTTGGGATTCTTGAGCTTTTGGCATTTGAGTGTAGCACACGAGGCATCAATCCATGAAGCGCATCTATTCAGAATGCGAGTTGTGGACTGCGAGTGCTTAGCTGCAGCAAGACTCACATTGTTAAATGTGTTCTGAAACAGTAAAAATCAAGTGTTTAAATGTGAAATTTTGCTACTGTTTTATTCTAACAGTTTTGATCCATGTTCTGAATATTATGAAATGTTAAACTAATGACTAATAGAATCTGCTAACAAAAACATTAATTTACAATCCACCGTCAGTTGTATCGAGGAAAGCACTAGAGCATTCTGAACTCCTCTAACGAGCAACCACGGTAAACCCAAGGAATAGTTTTACAGTCTTAAACTGGAGGATACTAAATTATGTAACTGCAAGACAAGAGAACCTCCAACTTGGGAGCAAATCATACTGCACTGTGAACTGCATAAATCTTCAAGAACACAGCTCATATGATCGATGAAAGTGGAACCTGGCCTACGACATTTCTGGAATTATTATCTATTGAGCACAATAAAGACTTCTGTACATAATGTATTAATAATATAGTTTGAAAAAAATAAGATAGAAAAAAATAAATAAAAAAATCCATAGTCTATTTTCAATAAATGTGTTTTATTAGTAGCTCTAGGTGGGCCAAAAAGGATGACCAGAAATGCCCTGCCATTTATTGCAACCATGTTGGCAAGTTTTTAAAGTAGTTAGTAAAAACTATAAACTAGTACGAAAAATGTGGGTTGAATTGCTTTTATTACAAACATAAAAATTTCATTAAAAAACTTCCTATCTTTATCATCTCTGTTAGAGAGTTGGAAAAATATTTAATTAAGGTGATTAAATCAAAGAGTTTTCTGTATGTTTGGTATGAATTGCAAGCTGCTGTACCTGTAAAGCTTGAAGAGTGTTTTCAGTTGATCGATTTTCTTCTGTGATGTTGTGTACACACATTGCATGTCCAGAATTGCTGTTAATACAGAAAGAGGGTAGCCTATGCATCATCTAATAACAGACATACATTAAAGGTGTTCTTTAAATCTGTGTTAATATGTTATTATCATTATTATTCTAATAACTTCTCTACTTATTGTATAAATGAGTTTTTGGCTGAAAAACCTAATCCAACTGATACTAGAAGAAAAAGGTCTTTATTATACTTTCTTCGAATAATTTGATTATTATTACATTAATATTTATTTTTTTAAATATATTTTTAGTTAGTTGTTTGTAATGCATCATTGACATCCATTCTACTTTGGTCTGTCAGACCTAGTTTTGAACTTTCCCATTATCAGTGATTAGATTATACTATTTTTCATTAATACATGTGTACTTTTGTCAGTGATGCTCCTTTAATTATATGTAAGTATATAATTTATTATAAATTGGCTACTGAAATTTGAAGCAGGTGTCATCTGCAGCTAGGTTGGGATTTAATAGAATTTAGGCTGGCTTTTTGTTTAGTAATAATGTCCCACTGAAAACTAAATTCACAATATTTAATGCTGTTGAAAGAATTTTAGATCTTTGTTGTTCTATGCACGACATGTTTGGGGTTATCAGAGGCATGATTAGTTAAAAAATTCTTGAAATTTTTCATCAAAAAGCTCTTTAGCTTCAACTCCTAGTTCATTTTGTATATATGCACACTGAAGCTAGTGCATTTTGTATATATGCACACTGAAGCTTTCAAGTTTTTAATTTTCCTGATTCATGTTTTTCAAAAATGATTAAGATAGTAAAAAGTAATACACTCTGGTATCCTCTTTTCAGCAAATAATCTACCCTGCATAACTTCAATACCAATAATTCTGAGTGAGAATCTAATCTTGACTCTCTTCGTTGAAAAATCTGTACATGACATCAAGAGGAGTCTGTACGGTTTGCTCTATCATCACTTGCTTTCTTCTGTAGAATGCTATTTACTACATAGTTCCCATTTGCCGATTTGTTTCTGATTTTAATCAGGATTTAAATTTGGGTGATTTGTTCAAGGGTCTGAGAGGACATGTTTTACTTTCTACTGAATGCTCTATCATTGAGAAATTGGTCTGCTCGACCTAAGCCGCAGTTTCCTGTCTAGAAGTGAATTATTCATCGAGCTAAAGTTTGAACCGATCCCACTTGATTTTTAAAAAATTTGTATTTAAATTTTTTTTTTTGAGATGGGGAAACACCCAAATATTAATTAAAAATCAGAACAGGGGACCCAACAACCCATGAACTGTCTTTATGCCTACTCGCTCCCTGTAAGGGGCCAAGGCGTGGTACCCTACACATTTAGGCACAACGAGACATCTGTGCAGGGTTTGCACCAGAAGCAGGTGCCCATGTTTCAAACGGGTATGGCATATCATCAAGTGAATGAGCATGATCCTTTCCTTGCATTTCAATGGGCTATTGCTCAGTCATGCTCTTGACACCCAAGGATTCTCAGATAATCTGGCCCATTGACACTGCCAACGTTCATTACTGCTAGTACAGGGTCACCGGGCCAGATTGTGGTGGTTCCATCTGAGAGCAAGACGTTCCGCTTTCACCGCCTCATCTGCATGTTCATTGCCCTCCAGCCCAACATGACCAGGTATTATTATATATATTTTTTGTTTGTTAAAAAATACCTAAATAACCCATTATGAGTGAGTGATATTTAAAACATCTTTGGTCTCATCTATACTGAATTCAGAATGGCTGTAATAATTCAAGCAAAAATATGATGCAAAAAAAAATAGTTGCATCAGCCCCAAATTTATGTTCAATTACCAAGAAGTGCCAACTATGAAAAGAAGAGGAAGATATTTCAAGATACAACAAGGAGTCAAACAAGATCCTACTTCGCCTTAAATCTTCAATTGCATACAAAGGGGTCAAGGCTGACAGATCTTTGATTTGCTAATTCTGTTTATCACAACCTCAGAGATACAGGGAAAATATTAAATAAACCTTGACTAAAGATGTCATCTACTTTAGGCAGCTAATAAACTTCAAGAATAAGGTTGGAAAGGAAGTATATAGGAAAAGGCAAAAAAAGTGGTTGAAATATTGGAAAAAGAGGAAATCAGCACAAAGAAAAACAAGGAAATACTGAACACCTGCCATCCAACAATGAGAATAAAAAGAAGGGAGAATCAGGAAGACCACAACCAGAAACAAACAGGGGCAAACAGCATAGGGGCAATCATAAACTTTGAAATGGAACTGGGCTAGACATATATATCCTAGACACAAAAACTCACTACAGTTGAAAAGGACTACTATTTTAACCCTTCTATATTGGAAAAAGAGAAGAAGAAAGGAGAAAAGATAGGTGGATGACATAATTTTGTGGGTAACCTTCGACAGTAATATCAAAAATGTGAAAAATACATTACCCGGTTTTTTGTTCATTGTGTGAAAATAAAGCGATGAGTTAACATCATAGTTCTCTGTGTGTAAAAGTGATGTTTAACAGGAAATACAACTGCAGAAGATAGGGACATCTGGCCAGAATGGAATGGGAGAAGCTTTCTTCTCTTTAAGGGCTGATTGCAAGCAAGTCAAGTTTATTTTTCAATTCCAATTAAAATGTACTAGCAATAAATGTTTCTTTAATACACATTTCATTCTATGGTAAATAACCTACATAGATATTTGAGTCAGTAAAGACTTTGTTTATTTTTTTTTATTATTTAGAAAAAAAAATTCTTTTGACTTAGTTTTTATTATTTACATTTATAATTTTTATCTCTTATTATTAATAATTAATAAATACAATATTTTTGATAATAAATAGTTTAAATTTTCAGTATTTTAATTTAGAGTGGACGCGACACTCTTAATTACAAGTTGTGAGCATGGAATTTTTGCTGTAAGCCGGCTCCCATCTTAGTATAAGATCTAGTTGTTAAAGTAAGAAAAGAAATTGGACTAAACGACTATAGAAAAAGACAGTAAAATGAGAAATGGCGAACACCCAGACCGGAACAACGTGGCGCCCCCTACAAATCTGGGAAACATAATTCTGCAACAGTTAAGCAGTTGGTCGAAGGGTATCACAGCACAGACGAGAGAGACGTGACATTCCTCACAAATCAGGGAAACATAGGCCTGCAATAATTACGCAGTTGGGCAAATAAATAAGAATGTCGAAGGTTGTCGCAGATCCAAACGGGAGACCACGTAATGTTTGCCAAGAGTGGAAAGCATAAAGTTGCAATAGTTGGGCAACCGATCAAATAAATAACTAACGTCGCGTTATTTAAAGATGAAAGGTTGTCACAAGGCAAAAAATATGTAGCGACGTGGGACATCATAAACTGGGGTCGCGTCAACCAGGTGCGCGGACACCTGTCTTCCACTCGCGGAGTAGGTATTCTGCCGACTTTTGATTTTCCTTTTCACCCTTACCCGATAGAGAAACTGGTGTAAAAAGGGATGATTTGGAAATCAAAAGTCAGCCAAGACCGAAGATTCACCCCTAGGAAGAGACTCAAGGATAGATCCGGAAAAGGGGTATCCACTCTCCGTTTGGTACTCAAAAAGGGGAATTAGCCAGTCAGAGTCAGCGAGGACCAGCCGTCCTATCGAACCTATCGAATTAAGTCGACGGTCGAGAAACCGGAAAGGCTGGGGATGCTGTAGAACTAATCGTGGCGAGCATCGTTTGGGTACGTTATTAGACTCATTAAACTCCTTTAAGACTCATCCCAGATTTAGAGTTGTGGCTGACTTTATAAATTGGTTAAGGCTTGCTGCGAGAAGACGGAACCCACTCATCTTCGTTTAGATCGTATCGAGACGGAAATTTCTGCCTTATCCTTGCCCAGCAATTTACGCCAACCTAAAGATCTCAGCCCTAAAGGCTGCGTTAGAAATGAAGAACCTGTACCATGGGATAGAGGCCGTTTCGTAATGTATGATAAGTCAATCACTGGGGAATTGAGTCTGTTGGCAGGAACCAGCCCAGTGGACGCGAACCAACACTATCATATGACGGAAACGCACGGAGTGGCCACCGAGGGAGCTCAACTTATTTTCTTATATCTCTCCAAGAAAGCGACAGACTAGAGGTCCGAGTGGGGTTGCTGCCAGTGCAAGATGGGACTTTACAGAGGCCTGTCATCCTAGAGCACTACGCCAATTATTTCCCGATATTGAAGGATCGAGACTATATGCCACCTTGGACGAACGGGACGTGGAGGAGGTGCAGACGGGCGCAAATATCGGTGTGTCCAGCGGAATTTAACTTTCCACCTTTAATTACTAAAGCTTTATTGAACATGAAATTACCAATATTAAACAAAATAGTAGCAATAATATGTAATAATAATGAAAAAAAAAAAAAATCGGCCGTTAAGATAAGTGATATTCCTCAATTCTTTCCTTTCTTTTTCCTCAATATATTTATTCATGGATCTCCATGATAAAAATACAATAGTACATGCAGAGATCATTTAGGCAATGATTAAAAAAAAAAAAAAGTACAACTACATTAAAAGACTCTAAAACGGAAAACATTATATATATCATTATTATGGGGTTCAATTTAAACAGATCAAATTAATCTAATATGTGACAACTTAACAAGAAAGAAGATATCTTGTATCATTCTTAAAAGGCAATAAAAGCCAAAGAAAAGAAGAAAAACATAAACAAAAAACATCTGGACTACCAAGTAAGTGGTGTTCCCTAGTGGGCTCTTTGGAACTTCAATATCTTGCATGAATTGAGAAGATTTTTATTTGAGCACTGTGTCTTGTAAAATAAATAAACGTTTGATTTCTTTTTCCATTGATATATCACAAACTTGTTTATACATCTACCCACATATTTGTTGGATTTGATTGTTGATTTAATGACATTCCAACCAACCACATCTCTACCCGTCATCATTCTATTTTTCTCTCTCTATGCCTATTTCTTTCTCTTTCTCTTTTTTTCTATCTTTATTTCATTCTTTCTCTTTCTGTCTCTCTCTTTATTTTTTCTTTCTATCCATCTCTCCCCCCTTTCTCTCCCTGTAC